TGCATTTGCATCTGCGGGGTTCCCATGGACTGGAGAGCGGGAACGTCATCTGCCTTGGCGGCCAAGGGCCCGGCCGAGGCGGCGAGAACGGCCAAGGCCTGCACGGCAGCATGCTTCACCACGCTCTCAGGCAAAGCTGCACCGGAAGGGGACACCTCGGCTGCCATGCCCTTGATTCGGCGCAGCACTTCCTCGCTGGTGGACTCGCGACTCTCCGCCTCGGGCGTGGCGAGACCCAGCCGAGCCACGGCGCTTCGCGCAGCCTTGCCGTCCCTGGGCGCAGCACGAGTTGAACCGCAGAAGCCGCGTCGCGGGCAGTCGGCACAGGCGAACATCATGGGCTTGTCCGGGTGCACACACTGGGTCTTTCGCGGCAAAGACACCTCCGAGGAGTTCTCGATCACCTCGCCCGTGTAGGCGGCCACGGCCATCTTGCTGTTGCCCATGACCAGCTTTCCTTCTGCAGCAGATTTGTTGATCAGTTTCATCAGCTGCTCGCCGGAGACCTTCTCCTCCTCCAAGAGAAGATTGGCAAGCTCATCCAGGAGATACATGTTGTCTCGAAGGAGCTTCATGCCACGCTGATACTGCTCGTCCACGATGCGCTTGATCTCGGCGTCCACCTGCTGCCTCAGAGCCTGCGACATGGGAGGAGCCCCCTGTCCCATGAAGTCACGGCCCATGAAGGGACCGCCACCCTGCTGGCCTCCCAGGAGGCGCTGGCCAATTTCCGGCGACATGCCAAGGGTCATCACCATCTGCTTGGCGACCTGCGTGCACTGCTGGAAGTCGTTGGAGGCACCAGTGGTCACATTGTCCTTGCCGTTGATGATCTCTTCGGCCAAGCGCCCACCCAGCGCCACACACATGCGATTCTCCAGAAACTCCTTCGAGTACAGGCCGGAGTTCAGCCTATCCTCGGAAGGCATGAAGATCGTCACGCCACCGGCTGGGCCCCGAGGCACGATGCTGATCTTGGCCACGACGTCGTAGTCGTTCATCAGAGCGCCCAGGATCGCATGACCGGCCTCATGATAGGCCACGAGCTTCTTCTTCTGCTCGGACATGACTGCGTCTTTCTTCTCCAGGCCAATGGAAATGCGCTCCAATGCGTTGAAGATGTCGTCGGAGTCGATCTCCGCCTTGTTTTGGCGCGCAGCAACGATGGCGCCCTCGTTCAGCAAGTT